GGCGAAGGGGGTGGGGTGTTCTGGCTCGGCCAATCAGAGGCCAGAATTCAGTGGGATTGTCCAATGGGAGCCAAGCTACCAAAATAAGAAAATTTTGGGGGTTGGGGATCCCAAAAATCGCAAAATTTGGTTTTATGGAGCCAAAAATCCCAAAATTTGGTTTAACGGACCCAAAAATCCCAAAATTTTGGGTTTAGAAACCCCAAAAATTCCAAAATTTTGGGTTTTAAAAATCCCAAAAATCCCAAAAATCCCAAAAATCTTGAATTTAGAAATTCCCAAAAATCCCAAAATTTTGGTTTTTTGGGATCCCAAAATTCCCAAAATTTGGTTTTTGGGACCCCAAAAATCCCAAAATTTGGTTTTTTGAAATCCCAAAAATCCCCAAAATTTGGGTTTTAAAAATCCCAAAATTCCCAAAATTTTGTTTTTTTGAAATCCCAAAAATCCCAAAATTTTGGGTTTTAGAAACCCCAAAAATCCCAAAAATTTTGGGTTTAGAAATCCCAAAATTCCCAAAATTTTGGGTTTTAGAAATCCCAAAAATCCCAAAAATTTTGAATTTAGAAATTCCCAAAAATCCCAAAATTTTGGGTTTTAGAAATCCCAAAATTCCCAAAATTTTGGTTTTTTGGGATCCCAAAATTCCCAAAATTTGGTTTTTGGGACCCAAAAAAATCCCAAAAAATTTGGGTTTAGAAATCCCAAAATTCCCCAAAAATTTTATTTTTAGAAATTCCAAAAATCCCCAAAATTTGGGTTTTAAAAATCCCAAAATTCCCAAAATTTTGGTTTTTTGAAATCCCAAAAATCCCCAAATTTTGGGTTTAGAAATTCCAAAATTCCCAAAATTTTGGGTTTTAAAAATCCCAAAAATCCCAAAATTTTGGGTTTTAAAAATCCCAAAAATCCCAAAAATTTTGAATTTAGAAATTCCCAAAAATCCCAAAATTTTGGGTTTTAAAAATCCCAAAAATCCCCAAAATTTGGGTTTTAGAAATTCCAAAATTCCCAAAATTTTGTTTTTTTGAAATATCAAAAAATCCCAAAATTTTGGTTTTTTGGGATCCCAAAATTCCCAAAATTTAGTTTTTGGGACCCAAAAAAATCCCAAAAATTTTGGGTTTAGAAATCCCCAAATTCCCAAAAATTTTATTTTTAGAAATCCCAAAAATCCCAAATTTTGGGTTTTAGAAATCCCAAAAATCCCAAAAATTTTGAATTTAGAAATTCCCAAAAATCCCAAAATTTTGGTTTTTTGAAATCCCAAAAATCCCCAAAATTTTGGTTTTAAAAATCCCAAAATTCCCAAAATTTTGTTTTTTTGAAATCCCAAAAATCCCAAAATTTTGTTTTTTTGAAATCCCAAAAATCCCCAAATTTTGGGTTTAGAAATTCCCAAAAATCCCAAAATTTTGGTTTTTTGGGATTCCAAAATTCCCAAAATTTGGTTTTTGGGACCCAAAAAAATCCCAAAAATTTTGGGTTTAGAAATCCCAAAATTCCCAAAAATTTTTGTTTTTAGAAATTCCAAAAATCCCAAAATTTGGGTTTTTGGGATCCCCAAAAATTCCCAAAATTTTGGATTTTTGGGGCGTTTTTTTTTGGGTTTTTCGTTTCGACCAATCAGGAAGCTCGAAGGGGGCGGGGCGTTCTGGCTCGGCCAATCAGAGCCCAGAATTCACCGGGATCGTCCAATGGNGGGTTTTTCGTTTCGACCAATCAGGAAGCTCGAAGGGGGCGGGGCGTTCTGGCTCGGCCAATCAGAGCCCAGAATTCACCGGGATCGTCCAATGGGAGCCAAGCTCCCCAAAATCCCCAAAATTTGATATTAATTAGGGTTAATAAGATGTTAATTGGGGTTAATTAGATATTAATTGGGGTTAATTAGATATTAATTAGGATTAATTTGTGAAATAGGAAATATTAATTAGGGTTAATTAGACATTCATTAGGGTTAATTAGACGTTAATTGGGGTTAATAGCTGTGAAGGGAGATGTTAATTAGGGTTAATTACATATTAATTAGGGTTAATAAGGGAAATGGGAGATATTAATTAGCATTAATTGGATATTAATTAGAGTGAATTAGATATTAATCAGGGTTATTAGCTGTGAAAAGAAACATTAATTAGGGTTAATTAGATATTAATTCGGGTTAATAGCTCTGAGTGGAGATATTAATTAGCGTTAATTAGCTACTAATTAGGGTTAATTAGATATTAAGTAGGGTTAATAGCTGTAAAGGGAGATATTAATTAGGGTTAATTACATATTAATCAGGGTTAATAGCTGTAAAGGGAGATGTTAATTAGGGTTAATTAGGTATTCAGAAGGGTTAATTAGATATTAATTAGGGTTAATAGGTGGAATGGGTGATATTAATTAGGGTTAATTAGGGTTAATTAGACATTAATTGGGGTTAATAGCTGTGAAGGGTGATATTAATTAGGCTTAAGTAGATATTAATTAGTGTTAATAGGTGTAATGGGAGCTATTAATTAGGGATAATTACATATTAATGAGGGCTAATAGCTGTAAAGGGAGATATTAATTAGGGTTAATTAGATATTAATTAGGGTTAATAGGTGGAAAGGGACATATTAATTAGGGTTTAGTATTAATTAGGGTTAATAGCTGTGAATGCAGATATTAATTAGGGTTAATTAGATATTAATTAGGGTTGATAGCTGTGAAGGATGATACTAATTAGGGTTAATTAGATATTAATTAGGGTTAAAGAGATATTAATTTTGATTAATAGGTCTTAAGGGAGATATTAATTAGGATTAATTAGATATTCATTAGGGTTAATAGGTGGAATGGCAGATATTAATTAAGGTTAATTAGATCCTAATTAGGATTAATTAGATATTAATTAGGGCTGATCAGATATTCATTACGGTTCTCATGATCCACTGAACTCGCCTATTAATAAACACATCTCATTTGCATATTAATGA